ACCAAATGACACGAATAATCCAAGTTGGATGGGTCAAAACTAAGAAGTACAGTACTTGCTTGCTTGCTCACGAAGTTGGAGCTAGGAACGACGAGACTTGAATGAAGCGGACTCGTGACGCTACCGACAACATCATCCCCCTTTCGTCGATGTTACTTTACAAAAATTATTCTGCGCGCGCAGAAGAAAAAGCAAAAAAGTCTAGATTTTTCTATATTTTTTCCGTTAAAATTTAAAAAAGTCTGAAAGGGAGAGGTAAAACGAGAATGGACATGTTCGTCTTACGATACTTCGACTGCAGAGTTATAAAAATTATTGAAGAAAGGATTCTGCCCAAATTAATAAAAAATTCTTTTAAATTATTCTGTAAGAAAAAATGTGATAGCTTTTCAAAGAAGACTTACAGGGGAGAGGTAAATAAGAGGGGACAGAGACGTACAGGTTCGTTTTACGACATTCCGACTGTTGAGTTATACATCTTATTGAAGAAAGGATCCTGTCCAAATTAACAAAAAAATTCTTTAAATTCTGTAAGATAAAAAGAGATAGCCTTTCAAAAAAAAAGTCTGGGAATGACAGGCAGGGAAAAACGAACAGAAGCGTACAAATTTGTTTTATGATAATCTGTCCGTTCTGCTTTTCAAAAATTATTGAAAAAATGAAATATGATTTGACAGAAGAGTAAATTTTTTGTCGATTACACGGTAAGGAAAAAAAAAGATCATTTAACTTAGAAAAGCTTTTAGCAAATAAGAAATAGTCGACTTTCTAAGAAAGAATACTTACAAAAAATATGTAGAACCTTAATGATTAGCTGAACAAACTTAGGAGAAGGAAATAAGGAAGCGCCCTTTTTAGCATATTTTCGAGTGAATAAATAGTGGGTAGGTTAAAAATTTAACTCTGGTTTGGCTTTGACTTCTCGTTGTGTCGAACAGTTTTCCGAGGACGTGCTTTCTATAAATCTTATTGTGAGTGTGAAAAAATGGCTCTTCGTGATTTATTATCTAAATTTTTTATAGTCGCTTGCAATCTTAATCAAAAATTGATTGCAAGAGACTATATATTGAAATTATCAGACGAGAATGAAAACAATTACAAAGTTTTCGAGCACTTTACGCGAGAGTGCTCCAGTACGTTACTATGCG